TGTTATTTCACATCATTTACGAAAAGTATCGGGTATTGAATATTGACTCAAAAGTCAATAAAAAATATCATAATATGGTATACATATATATATTATTATACAATTAAAACGTTATTGATCATAAAATAAATGCATTTTTCGGAAAAAAATTAATTAAACTTACCTTAGTACTAATATAGTAAAATAAATGACTATAGTAGCAATATAAATAAATCATAAAAATATATACTTTATAATATATACTATATGTATAGGCTGACAGATCACCTTAACGTCTCCACTCAGAATCGTTTTTCACGTACATTAATTTATCATTGAATTTAACTTCAGCTCATACATTACTGGAGTGACTTATTCAATGGCAAGGGAAAGTACATCTGCTGTATAACAGAGTGATTACCTACTTTACTCCTTTTTTAAAATTTATTTTTTATCAGTCTCGAGTAAATAATAGAAAAGTTATTATTATTATTATTATTAAACCACAAAATTACTATATTAAATTAAATCATTTTTAAGAACAGTAACTCATGTGGTACATTTCACATAATATGATAGTATAATATTGTATTAATTTTATTCGCAAGAAGAAATCGTTCAAAATAGGTGTGAACTATTCATTTTTTAACAAGTTATTATTTCATTTTGTCATTATCTGTCCTATGACACCTGAAACACATTCAACTGGAGATTATTTTATTTTATTTATATTTCGAGTATTTTAACCCCCACCAGTTGATTATCTGACGTGGTTAAACCAGYTATTTTGAAATCATAACGGTTATGCAGTGAATTCTTTTTAGGGAACCTTGGRAATACTGTCAAAATAAATCWTTTTAAATWWTAGATTCACCAAAAGTGATTTTAGGTAAAAAAAAAAACTTATGTATTCCGTCTGAACGACCAAAATTTACGATTCCATATGGTTAAACCACCGAGTGAGTTCACATTGCGTTTATGAAATACATATATGTTACGGGTAAAGTAAACTTTCAGGCAATGTAAACATTGCCCGGTGTTTTTGGGCAATACATTACGAGTAAAATATTATTTTTGCTGGGTAGGGTTATACTTTGACCATTCAAAGTACACTTTGCCYATAGTAAGTTACAATGTCCAGCTTAAGCTATTAACTTACAACCACACTTTATTTTTTACAAGCCCAAAACTAATTTATACACTACGACTATAATAGTGTTTATTTTTTATACWGTATTTCCATATATAGTATGTTGTATTTCATTGAAGTTTTCATTACTTAAAAATGAACAGTAATTATTTATCAAATAAGTAATAAATAATAATTAATATCTGAAAATAATGTATTAGTATATTATTTAATTAAGCCTTGCAAATAAATATATTTTTTGTTTGTGCATGTTTGTAATAAAGTATTACACTATCACTATATATTTAATAAATAATCACAGAATATTTTCAAAATATAAAATGTTTTACTTTAAACAGTTTATTTAAATATTTTTATGAAAACGAAATATAGATACTCATTTTCCCTAGGAAAATATAAAAAGTTAAAAAACAAAATAAATTAGCTTAATTTATTTCTTTAAATATAAATAAATTCATTAATTTTACGTTGTAAAAAAATTAATTTAATAAGTTAATAGTTAAGTTAATGAAAATTCAAATATAATTAGTTAAGTTAAAAAGTTAAAATGAAATTAACTTTTCAACTTAACTTTAACTTTTTATCTTATTAATGCCCAGCCTTGATAATAATTTTAATAAAAAATGTAATGCTAATCGTAAAAATAAATGGTATAGGTATATCAATAAGATTGAKAAGATTATAAAGGTGTATAATTATAAAATAAAAACTTATAGTTTATATTGCCTAAGCTTTACTGGGCAATTCTATACAGTCCGAGCATGTATAATTTTGTCTACATTGCCTGTCATAATCGGGTAGTATTATAATGCCCGGAAAAAGTAAACATTGACCGAAAATCTACTTGGCCCGTAACATGTAAATAGATTTTAAGCAGAATTAAGATTCGAGTGGACATTTTTTTTTTTCAATTATTATTTTTATTATTAATTATTTTAAGTAATATTTTTTTGTTTAAAAAAAAATTTTAAAAACCAGTGTTATTTAATTAAAAATACAATTTTAAAATTTATTAGACATAGGTATCTAAAAAAAATATCTCTTCGGAAAACAATCAAAAATRTTAACAATAGTTTAAGTTTGTTAAAAGWAATATAGTAATCATAATATAACATAATTATTATATGAAAACAAATACAGGGTGATCCATTTAAGTGGGTACACTAATTATCTTGAAAAATATTAACATTTTAATTTTTAATTTTTTTTAACTTTTAAATTTATGTTAAATCCAATTAGTCAAATTAGTCGATTAGTTAATAAATGATTAAGGTTCAAAGTATAATGGTAATTTTTAATTAATTGTTAWTTATTTTGTGACCTTGGATTCAGCGATATGGAATTCATCATTTAGTTCCTGGTGTTTACAATTATTGGAAAAATAGTAAAAACCACCAATAATTTGAGGTTCTGTATCTCACAAACCAATCAACGAAAAGTATACATGTTAACATGTATCCTTTCGTTTCCGGTGTTGGAGACCGGTGAATTCCGGCCCGATAATATTTTAGGTATAGGTTAGTTGCGGCCCGACAATATTTTAGTGATAGGTGAGTTGCGGCCCATGTAATTATCATTACATATGCATTATGCACCTTACTTATATAATATATATTATATTATATACCTATTACATATGTACATATGTACATATGCACATGTATAAACGAATAACGATAAATGAAATGTTCAATACGTATGGGAAGTTATATTTTTGTATATGTTACCGTCAATGTCGGAAATAATCCATTATCAGTAATGACTAGTCAATATTAGCAATGGCTAATTAGTTAAGGCAATACTGACAATGGCTAGGCAATATATAAAATGCCTACAATCGATAGTTAATTTGGGTAATATATTATTTATTTATTTTTATTTATTTATATAATTTAAATCAACATAACCATGATTATTATTATTATCTAAATATATTTTATTTATTTTCACAAGATAAACTACTATGGCATTTTGAATTGCATAATTTTTTAGCTGCTCGACAAGCACATCGATTATTTTGGCATTTTGTTTTACAATGACACCTTTCATATCCCTGAGTCCCAGCAATACTGTTATGCCCGGCAGCCTCTCGGAGAGTAATTTCCTTTTCTTTTGCTGAATTTGTAGTCTCCTTCAAATCGAGAAWGTTTTCGTCACATGGTACGATTTCTGTTCTCGTGTATCTGTGCTTTAAGAAACCATTTTCTGTACCTAATATTGTATAAATAAAAAATTAAYTTTTTCTTATAATTTTCTCATTTTTAAATTTAACCACTTACATAATTTGTACAAGCCATCTTGAACATCGGTGACAACAGCTAATAAGTTAACTAATCGATAACCACCTTGGAAAATAACGATAAATGACAATAATATAACATTGACTAAACTTACCAGTCAATTACGGAAATATACACCAATTGCCTACAATGACTGGTATGCACCGGCATTACTGGCATTGCCTAGGCATTACCGTTATTGCCGGAATTACCGACAATGACGGTAACATATATAATATGATAAAGATAATATAGATCGTTTTATCGTATTATCTGCCATATATGACTTACATTATAAATGCTTTGATTTTTTTTGGACATTATTATCATAATATAATATATTACACCAATTATACTTTTATTATTTTTTATTATTTATTATATTATATTATATTCTATAATTTTATGAATACTTTTATTTTCTTTACGACCAATATTAATATAAGTACGACAATTTATACTAGAAAATACCTACATAATATTGTGATGTTTATATATTATATATAGACATATAGTATATAGTATATATATGTAATATATACATTATTGTATGGCCGCAATTCGTACGTACCTTTCATAAACCCGGGCCGCAACTCGTACGTACCTCTCATAAACCCGGGCCGCAACTCGTACTTTATTTAGGGTTTGGGCCGCAACTCACCAACACTGAGAAAAACATAAACCTAAAAATTTAAGAAAAATTTAATACATTTCGAGATAATTAGTGTACCCACTTAAATGGATCATCCTGTTTAAATAATATAAAAACTATAAAAACAATAGTACCTATACAATATCATATACATTTCCACGATCMATAAAATATTGTACATTAATCAAATTCAATTTATTTTACTTTTAAGCATCAGCGAAATATCATTAGATTWAATTTAATTTAAGCTGTAAAACGTATGTATATGAATACAAATAATACTATTCAGGAAATATAATTATATAATACTGTAAGTATTTAATAAATTATTCAATATTAATTGTTTTAAATTATATAACATAATAATTTATGAGTCATAACAGCGAAACAATAAGTGTATAATCATGCCGTATCAACATTAAAGCACAAATAGAGGGATTATTTTCAACTGATCGTAAGTGATAAAAATGAAATGTTTAAATTCCATTGTCTTTAYCTGGAAAGTTAATTAATTTATATGAATTGTTACTTTGCGATTATAACAGACCTGCAGTCACGTTTATATGATACTATATTCATAATATTATAATATGCAATCAAACTAACACGATTCATTGTAGCATTAGTAATTTGGGTGCAGATTAAACTTAGTATAATAGTGTTACAAGTCCGAAACACATGGAATTCAACAAGCTCGTCGCCAACAATCGTTTGTTATACAGTATYGTGGACCTGTAGTAAATCCCAAGTTAGTTGACCACCTCTGATGGTGGTTTCTCTCGAGTCTGCGTAACTTATACGAAGGCAAAAGGGCAATTTCAATGCTGTGTTTGAAAATTAATTAACGTTTAATCTTTGAACAATCTACTCCGTCAGCGATTCGATTAAACAACACGTCAACACTGTCAATTGTTTATGCGCATGAATGATACTTTTCCACATGGACTTTTCGAAGTATCCCATTAAAATATTCATTAACATCAGTTCCAAAGATTTTATCCAATAAATTATACTCTTGAAAATCGCTACGACTTCAAAATTTCTATTCCTATTGTATACAGTAKGTATCAATCACAAATACACTGACCCTCAAGATCAATCGCGAATTAGAATTTCCACTAAGTGTAACATAAAAATCCTATGTGAAAATTCAACATATTACTATTATATATTTTTATGCTGTTAAAGTATCTCTATTCAAGTAAATAATATGTAAGTATGAAGCAYAACCCCATTTAATTGTTATCACGATTTCATTCCAGAAATATTTTTTTAAGCTATATAATATTATAAGCTACTATGTCATGTTATGTGCATCCTTTTAAGTTACTTACAGTGTAGGTTACCTTTCAACACCACTGTTTTCCACGTATTTAGAGGAGTTCTTCCGGTCAAAAATATCATACGAAAAAAAAAATTGTAAAATGTTTGAATGGGCGGTACTTGTGAGACGTACGTGTATAAGAATAATGATAGAACGCTCACGAAAATTTATTAATTGATCGCTAATTATGGCTTTGTCCATCACAACGGACGAATTTTCCAAAAACCCTTTAGACAATAGAATATAGGTAATAAACATTATATCGTTAGACTACGTGTTTAGGGTCAATTGTCGGAACAAAACCAAGCGGATATAAGGAAAATGTTTCACTAATTATTTTGTCTCCACTTATAAGCTTCGTAGAATTAATTTAATGAGAAAATACGTGAGCACATAATTTGGTATTCAAGTTTAATTGATTATTATTAAATTTTAGGTAGAATATTTCTCAAGTTCCCATAGTTAAACAATTTATGGCAGGTGTTGTATGTCTATTATTGACTAATAATTATTCCTGCGCATACTTGCTCACCACTAATATAATAAAGTATCTACTCGTATAACATATGTTGCGTTGTTTATACAAAAATATAATAATAATAAAAGAATAAATACATTACTACATTTCATTCATCAATAATAATTTCCGGGAGTTAAAAAGTAAGTGGGCATCTCTACGTCTCTACCAATGTAACTTCATGTTGTAGTATTTTAGTGTATCAAATTTACTTATTTTATAGAGATTATATTGCGTATCATAATATGAATATACTTTTGTAAAAAAAATAAAAAATAAATAAAATGATAACTCGGTCAATAGTATACACAAATTTTGGCCAAAACAATTAATTTGATACAGAAAACAGCAATAACTATGTAATAATATTGTATTATATTTTTTTCAGGTACACAATAAAGACTAAGGTTGACGATGAAGACGTTCAAGATTCTGCTCCGTTTTTGTCGCATAGAGCAAACGATCTTAAAATGGGTGTAACGAGCTTTTGCAAAGCTTTTCCGTGGCACTTGGTATTGGACAAACGACTTGAGTTCGTGCAGTTAGGCTCTGGGTTCATGAAGCTTTTCGGAAAATGCCTACAGCAATTCGGTAAGTACAATATTTAATTTTGTAAAAAAGGATTACACACATAAAGCATTACGATTCAAATATTTTATTTTACTTACCATGTTTGTATTATACCCGTTAATACTACATATTCGATATGAAACTATATTTAAATTGAATGACTTGTTACATTTTTGTTAATATTTTAATTTCTAATAATTTTAGTATTGTTATGTACATCGTCTTAAAGCTTGCAGTGAGCTAAACTGAAATTAATATATTATTTTGTTTCATTGGTGACTTGGTTGTAATAATCAAGGTTTGTCTTCTTGAGTACAGTTGAGCATGTTGCTAAATAAATATAAAATAAAACTTTATTACTCGATTTTAATAAACATCTGAATTCAACCTTTAAATGCCAATTTGCATTGTAAATTTACGACTCATAATTAATTACAGCACAGTTTAAGTTTAGCCACCGTCGTAGTTTATGCGTATTGTTAGCTGTCTTTTTTTTTCGAAAATAGTTGTGTAACTAAAGTTTGATATCAATTATTATAAACAAAAACTTCAAAAGTTTCAACACGGTATCATAATATACAAATAATAAGCGACCCGTTAATTGGACAAGTTTTGCTTTTTCTCAAAGGACAATTTTTCGTGTGCTTTCAATGTAGATAGTATACATTGTTGTTAGTTAACATTATTCTATAGGTACTGAGAAAAGACAAAATTTATGTAGGTATGCATAAAATATAATATTAATTAATATGTACCTAACAATATGACTATGTGTAACGTAAAAGATGCCACTGATTAAATTTCGAGAGAAGTCCAAGTTGAACGAGTAACATGAGAGATCTTTTTGTGAAACAAAATCCAGCAGCAGTGAAGTTTGGAATAATTTCATCGGTAACTCAACAATCGACGCCTTTCTAATGCTAGACATAATGGTTCTATACTGGTTTGGTGGTGGTATTAAGCAACCGTTGCACGATGTGATGATGTAAACACGAATGACTTAAATCGATTTTAATTTTCTACCACCTAATGAATACAGCTACTAACTGCTGGTGGGAGAGAATACAAAGCCAAAATCGATTTGGGTAATGCATGCGATGAAATAGCATATTGCGATCGGTGTTCTATTGTAGAATATATTATCAGCACCAGCCAGCGTTTTCAGGTCATCTACCTACGTGGCTTACAAATCCAATAATTTAGTACTTAGATTAAATTTGTGTGTGTATAGGCAAGGGTATAAATTCCAGGGAAAATGGTCAGTAGAAAAAATATCCTAGGAGGAAATAACTAAAAAAAAAGTTAAGTTAAATAAAAATATATACATATATACTGGTGATTCATTTAAGTTAGTAAGTGTACTAATCATCATACCATTTTTTTTTCATGAATTTACGTGTTAACATTTTTATTTTTCGTTGATTGGTTTGTGAGATACAGCTCCTCAAAGGATTGGTGGTTTCTACTATTTTTCCAATAATTGTTAACACCAGGAGCTAATGATAAATTTCTTATTTCTGAATCCAAGGTAACAAAATAAATCCAATTAATTAAAGATTATAATTGTACTTTGAACCCTAATCATTTATTAACTTATGGACTAATTGGATTTATTTTGTTACATTGGATTCAACAATAAGGAACTTATCACTAGCTGTATCTCACAAACCAATCAACGAAAAATAAAAATGTTAATACGTAAATTTATGAAAAAAAAAAAAATAGTTTTWATAAAGYGTTGAATAAAACTTATTTAAATTAAAACTGGACATGATTTAATAGCTATAAAATCTATTTTATGTAATTAATTTAGTTTTTGGACTGTAATTTTTATTGTTTAATTAAATAATGGGTGTCACTGACTTGCCTTTTTTTCTATTTTCTGATCACCTAAATACATTATAATCTACCCTATTTAATAAAATAAAAATAATTTTTTTGATGAAATATATTTATTGAGAATCATGGATAAACGTATTTTGTTTTTGGRCGACTTTCTATGTCGTTGTTACTCCTTAACAAAAAAAAACATATTAAAAATCTTGAGTAGCATGTTATGGGGGTTTTTTATTTAATTAAAAAGATCTTACTAAATTTATTTCAGTGAATTTATTATGTAATCTATTATCTACACTCTACAGTACTTACAATTTAAAGAACTTACAATATATTTAAAAATAGATTTGACTAAATAATATGTATTTTGCATTAAATAATTCAATTTCAACAATGTTCTTTTTTAGTATTTTGCATTTACATACTATAATATTAAAACTGAACGTGAGATTTTTTTCAGAATTATCGCAGTGTAACATGCTACGAGTCGTAATAAATGTATTTCTTTTGACAAAATGTGAACAATATCTTCGTATTGAATTACCTTTGTTTTTTAATTTTGTCGTATTATAATAATATTTACTATGGATTTGAAATACTATGGGGCTTTGAAWAAAAAATATATTTTACCCTAAAAATATTAAATTTTTGTTTATATTATGATACTATAAATTTTTTCTTAGTTTTTTTAAATGGAACGAAATAAATAATTGTTCACATTTAAACTTGAGACATTTTATTCGGTGAATGTGACATAATTTGACCAGGAAAGTCTCGGTGATCTATTAGAATATATATCTTTAGTGTATCACTGTAGCGTGATGGAAGTTTATCTGAAATATTATTATAGTCGATTACACATCGATAGCCATAATACCATTATGCTACCATACAACAATTGAGTTTGGGAATTATCAGGGAAAATTGTCCAAGCATTTTTTACGAGTRGTACGAACGATCGTTTTAAGAACCCCATGATCTGTGAACGCACATCCGGTCCCCGGAGATGCTTAAAGRTTTTAGTGTCATTCGATTGTGGAATTGGACTTTACAATAGTACGCAAATGCCACTTCAATGCGTCAGAAGGTATGAAAAAATGCTGATATATCCGTATTTTATTTCATGGTTATTCTTTGGACTACCTATATTATTAAAAAAATATAATGCCAAAATAATATACCCATATTTTTACGGTGGGATTAAATATTTATTTTTTTCTAGAGTGCTATTTTCGGCAATATCTTATAATATTGTAATTGAATTCAACGTGACGACTTTTCAATTGCAACAATTTAAGTATAATAATATTATAAAAACATAAATGTATATTTTTATTAATTTTAACTGTTTTATTGTAATACTATTAAAGCTTTTTAWCAACAAAAGACTATTCATTAGATAATTGGCCCGGCGTCACAATATTAATGGTCTAAATTATTTTCAAAATCATACGGAAATCAATTATAAAGTAGATGAATAGTAAGTTAATTCAATAAGGGCACTCTTATTGTTTAATATTCATTGAAAGTAACATTAAATATCATAATTTCCATGATTTAAAACTGTGAGTACAATTTGGTTTGTTATAATATTATACCTAAACTTCAATATAACATATTATATAACCAAATATATAATTATATAATTAAATATTTAAATATAGGTAATAAGTAGAAATTTAGCAAGTATGTGACAAATTAATGTAAATTTAATATGTAACGCCGACTAATAACCATGCAGTTGATGCCTCATATTTTTATTATTTTTATTAATAATAAAAAAAAAAATTATATAATTGAAAAATATCTTTTTTTCTTTTCAAAATCGACATCCATAATATTTTCATCCATCACTTGAAAAAACCATTTTTGTATGGATTAATTTTGTACAACCTAATTTTACAAAATCAATATTTATTATTTGGGTTAATTCTCGAATACAGAATTTCGAGAGATTCCCGAATCGTATATGTTCTTAACTTTATAACATCTTATTTTAAAATAATTCTTGACAAGAATATTTATTTATTTTTTTATAATATCATATTTTTACGCTATTACACTATTAATAAAATGAATAATGATAAAAAAAAAAATTAAATATTTATTTATTATCGTGATATAATGATCATTTATGAATAATATYGATCTAAAACAATCAAACTAAGCTTAAGAATTTCATTTTCTAATTTATTGAGCAATGTGAAAATGTATAACATGAAAAATAAAATATGATCTCAAACATGTTTCATTTTTATGACCAAATATTTGTTTTGATTCATGAAGAAAAATATTACTATGAATTCCCATCGATCCCTATAGTCCTCGTTATTTGTTTATTTATTACTGTTATTATTATTTTGACAAAGGTTTGGCTTATGTCACTTGTATTTCACTGACAAATAAAGTAGACTGTGTTATCATTAAATAAAAAGCAGGCAAGTGGATAACGCTCTACTGTGCCTTGAGAGTCACTGTAATGAATGTGTTGAATTTAAATTCTATGATATAAAATCATCGTATAGGTACGAAAAAAAAATTCTGAGCTAAGATGTTCTGTTAGCATATTTAATGATAGTAATTTATTATATTATTAAGCATTAGAATTTCAATAGGTTATATTAATTTTTATCGAATACAGAAGTTAAAAGYTTAAGTAATTTTTGTACTACTTAACAGTACTAGCCTACAATACAGGCATAAAAAAAAAATTCATACACACATCATTGTAAAATCTATAAAATATTTATCGCTAAACTCGAATCTAAGTTAAACCTTTTAGTAGCTTAAGCTAATAATTTATACAAAACATTTTATGAAAATTCCAATAAGTTACGTTATAACTATTTTAAAATGTAATAATTTTATTATCTACAGAGTTATGCTCCGTACTCGTTTTATTGAAATGTACGATTTTATCAAGTTGACTTAACATTAAAGAATACAACATATTATAAGTAATTGCAATAAACTTTCTATCRATATTTCAATGCAATCCAATATTATAGGTACCTATTAATAGTTTTTTTAAACTCAAAAACATTAATCTAAAACAATTAATTATTTTACTCTTCAGAATATTTTAATGATACTATCTACCTTTGTACATAATGTAATATTATAATATCATTTTAGTAATCAGAAACGTAGTTATGAACCAAAAAWAAAATAAAAAAAATACCTCC